CTTCTTTCCTTTGCACGCAGTATATAAGCCGGGATCAGCCGACTATATCCTATAGCTGCCATATAACTGATTGATCGGAAATGGTATAACTTTGGTGCTTTTAGAGTTAGAGAGTTTCAATTTGACATGAAAGCTATTTTTGGCAAAACATTTGGCATCTCTAACATGCCAAATTTCATAAGGATCGGCCGACTATATCCTATAGCTGCCATATAACTGATTGATCGGAAATGACCCAACTTTCGTGTTTTTGAAGATAGAAAGCTGGAACTTAGTACTGATTATATTTTTGGTCAGATAATCCAACCTACTCAATTTCGTAAGGATCGGCCAACTATATCCTATAGCTGCCATATAACTGAACGATCGGAAATGTTTTTTGGTAGAAATACCAACTTTGGTATTTTTGAAGATAGAAGTTTGGGATTTTTTTTTAGATTTTATATTATAATCAATTGGATTATATATTCATATTCCCATAAGAATCGGCCAACTATATCCGATGTTTGCGGTATATATCCGGTTTAACTGCAAGGGTATATCAACTTCGGCTCCGCTCGAAGTTAGCTTTCCTTGTTTTTTATTTCGGTTTGGACTTATGAAGTATTTTTTCTCAAGTTCTAAGTGATGCCAGCTTTTATTTTATTTATCTTATATCTTAGGTTACGAATTGCTTTTCCATGTTGGGCTTTGAACTGAAAGCATCGTTTTATTGTTTGTTAAAAAAATAAAAAGAAAAATTTAAATTTTTTTTCCAACCACCAAAAAAATATAAAACCACTCTTATTTACTTAATCTTGCGGCCATTCTCGGGCAAAACCAACTTAATGGGCTGGCAAAACCCTCCCAGTTCCATCAAAATCAAGCCGCCTTCGAAAAAGAAAGCCTATTCTAATTTTCAAGATGTCGATTCCAGCGACTCCGAGCATGGAGAAATGAAGCGGAAGTCTGCTAAAAACCCATTATGGAAGACGAACCTACCACCAGCGAAGCAGCCAGAGCTGCACTTAAAGCTAATATTGAAAAAATTATTATGCAATTCTTTCTGATTTAGACGATGAAGATCGTGTCAGCGACATGGAGGTTGACGTTATGAAGAAAAAGATGATAAGAAAACCAAGCAATCTGCGGTAAAAACGGCGAAAATCATCAAACCGCCCCCAATTTTTATCCCGGACGTATCCAGCATCAAGGGCCTTTCCAAAGACATTTCCCACCTCTTAGGCGGGGATGTTGAAGTGACCTACAAAGCAAGCACTAACAACACAATTCGCGTCATGACTCCAGATAAGGATACTTACTCAACTCTGAAAAAGTTCCTGAGCGAAAATAACCATCGATACCACACATTCCAGCCCCGAGACGAGCGCGCTTATCGGATCGTCGTTAAAGGCCTCCACTTCTCCACCGACCCGGAGGATATTAAGGTGGGTTTCAGCAGCCATGGACACAAAGTCAGGGATATACACAATCCTATGCAAAAAGGTACAAAGAAGCCACTAAACATTTTCTTTATTAACCTCGAGCCAGCCAAATACAACAAGGAGGCCTTTCAAGTCAAGCGGCTATGCAGCACGGTGGTTACGGTTGAGCCACCAAAAAAATTCGACGATGTGCCCCAATGCCATCGCTGCCAGGGCTTCGGTCACACGAAACGGTACTGCCATCTGGAGTACAGATGCGTAAAGTGTGGAGATAGGCACCCATCGTCCGAATGCACCAAAATTGCCAGTGAACCAGCAGTCTGCCTCCACTGCGACGGATCACATGCGGCCTCTTTCAAGGGCTGTCCAGCCTACAAAAAGGCAAAGAGCACGTTCGCCCCCAAGCAGGCTGCCCCAAGACGCCAGCAACCTCAATTCAGCAAAATTAACCCTAACATCAGCTATGCTAGCGCAGTCAAAAACGGAGCACCACAGTTTGACTCCAACCCCAATCCCGATCCCAGTCTTTCAAGTAATCCAATGGACGCCCTAACGGCTAGGATGGAATCTATGTTTGAGCGCATGATGGAGAAGGTCTTGAGCCAAATAGCCCAAATGATGGCCACCGTTTGCAAATCCTTGTGCATACGCAATTAAATATAACCATATGGAATGCTAACGGCCTGGTAAAAAAGAAGGCCAGAGGTCGAGCTATATTGCAAGACCCTCCAAGCAGACGTTCTCCTCATATCAGAAACGCATTTTACCAACAGATCATACTTGACTATTAGAGGATACGACCTCATTGCCGCTAACCACCCGAACGGTAGAGGTCGCGGGGGCGCGGCCATCCTTATTCGCAGCTGCATCAAGTATGAGGCACTTCCAGCCATGTGCGAAGACTGGGTACAATGTGCCCAAATTAAAATCTCCACTACCAACGGTGACATAACAATCGCCGCAGCATATTGCCCCCCAGGCACAACATCCACGAACAGGAATTCGGCTTGCTACTGGATTGCCTCGGCCCCAAGTTCATAATCGGAGGGGACTTTAATGCTAAACACCCCTGGTGGGGCTCCAGGATTACAAACCCAAAGGGCTCGGCCCTATACAGGCAGATTCAGTCCCGAATCTTGAGCTGTCACGCAACCGGTGCACCCACATACTGGCCTACGGATCCCCACAAAATCCCTGATGTGCTAGACTTCGCCATCTCCGGAGGACTGGATTCTGCCGGAATTCAAGCGAGAGAAGTAGAAGACCTCTTCTCGGACCACAGCGCCTTTGCCGTGTCACTTTTCACCCCAGCCTTGCTCAGGTCAGCCCGCAAAAAGCTGATCTACAAGACAACAGACGTTGACAAGTACCAATCCTACCTGAACAACGTTACCGACCCCAGCCCGACACTTGACTCCCCGGTTGACATCGACACCGTTGTAGAAGAGTTAACAGCCCATATTCAGGCGGGCAGCTTCTGAAGCAGCACCAAGGCCCTCCAACCGCCCAAGAGCCACTGACAGGGACATCCATTTTTGGAGCCCAGAAGTCGAAGAACTCAAACTTGAAAAGCGACGACTCCGAAGAGTGTGGATGCTCTCAAGGAATCCTTTGGACAAAACCGCCTTCAATAGAGCGACCAAATGTCTGACAGAAACTCTGGCAAGACTAAGGAAGCAGGCCTTTGACGGGTTCGTCGAACAACTTGAGCCAGGCGACCCTCAACATAACTTATGGCGAGTCACCAAATCTATCAGACAGCCGCTGAAAAGGATCCCACCTGTACAAAGAACCGACGGCAGCTGGTGCAGATCGGAGATGGACAGGGCCAACGCTTTCGCCGAACACCCCGAAGGTGTCTTTACGCCTTTCGATCGCTGCTCACCGGAGGATGCTGCTGAAACTGCCCGTCTGCTAGCCGAGCCTTCTAGGGACGCCGATACAATACCACCAGTGACTGAGGAGGAAACAGCTGAGCTTATAACCATCATGAGCAACAACAAGGCCCCGGGCGATGATGGTATCAATGCAATTGCATTAAAAATGTTACCACCTCCAAGCATTCAGCTAATTACGAGGATCTATAATAGATGCTTGGAGATAGGGTACTTCCCGTCCACATGGAAACGTGCCCAGGTAACTATGATACCTAAGCCCGGGAAACCCGAAGCAAACCTTTCGTCCTACCGACCAATAAGTTTGTTACCAACGCTCTCCAAAATACTTGAACGAGTGTTTTTAAGCAGAGCACTGCCAGTATTTGACGAGGCTGGACTGATCCCTGACCACCAGTTTGGCTTCAGGCGGCGACACGGTACGCCAGAGCAGTGCCATCGGGTAGTGCAGTGCATCCTGGACGCGTTTGAAACCAAGAAGTACTGCATGGCCGTCATGCTGGACGTGAAGCAGGCGTTTGACCGAGTCTGGCATCCCGGTCTTCTATATAAATTAAAGACTGGCCTACCCCGACCATACTTCCAGTTCCTAAAGTCGTTCTTGGAAGACCGTAAATTTGCTGTTAGATGTGGCGAGGCCATCTCCGGTATTAGAGAAGCTCACGCTGGTGTACCCCAAGGCAGCGTTCTTGGCCCGTTGATGTACAATGCTTACACGGCCGACCTCCCTGTTCTTCAGAGGCCTGACCTGCTCGCAGCAACCTATGCAGACGACACCGCCTTCCTTACCACCGCCGATAGCGCATTGGGGGCAGCCGATACGATGCAATTGCAGCTTGACTTGCTCAGCGACTGGCAAAAGCGATGGAACATTGCCGTCAATAACGAGAAGTCCACTGCCTCCACATTTTCTCTCTGCAAAGGCAACTGCCCTCCAGTTAACCTTAACGGCTCTCCAATCCCACAGGTAGACAATCCCAGGTACCTGGGATTCACCCTAGACAGGAGGCTCACCTGGAAGCCCCATCTGATTAAGAAGAGGAAACAGGCTATTCAAAGACTTCGATCCTTCAACTGGCTTATGGGTAGGAGATCGAAGCTGAGAACTTCCACTAAACTCCTCATTTACAAGGCAATAATACGCCCTATCTGGACGTACGGCATACAGCTCTGGGGAACTGCGAGCAAGACGAATGTCCGAACTATGCAAGCTTTCGAAAATAGAGTCCTTCGAATCGCCACTGGGGCCCACGTCTATCATGACAATCGCACTATCCACGAGGTTCTCAATTTCCCTTGGGTCAAGGACGAGATACAAAGAAGCAGCGCACGTTACATGCAGAGGCTTCATAATCACCCGAACCGGTTGGCCAGCTCCCTGCTGGACAGCAGCGAGCAACCCAGAAGACTTAAAAGGACACACCCCCTGGACCTCCCCTTACTACTCTAATTTTTTTTTTCTACCATATTAATATTTAAAAATACGTGAAGTTTACGTGATAAAATTTAATGGTTGTCCCTAATGGACAGTTTTAAATAAACATTACCCTGCTATTACAAAAAAAAAAAAAAAAAAAAAAATGTTGGGGTTTGCTTTATTTTATTTTAGGACTTGCTTTTTATGAATTTGGAATTTAATTTCAAATTTCTATAAATATTTCTCTCCCAAGTAGGCCTTGAGGCCTTAAACCCAAATGTCAAATCGTAGCCCCAAACTGCTTTCCCATTTCTAGTCATTCGAAGTTTGATCTCCGAAGTGTGAGGTCGAATATAAAATTGAGAGTCTGATATTTTTTGAATATTAAAAATATTGTGTCGGAATTTTCCCGTATTTAAATTAGTATTTGTCAGTTATAATTTTATTTCAAAATGGTGACAGTAAAAGCCCAAGAGGAGACCCAACATCCCAAACAGACCCACAAGAACCGATCGGTATTTAATCCGGACAAGCGTACTGGTCACGTAGCGACGAAACCCGTCGCCAAACCATTCAAGAGATTCGTGAGGAACCCAACTGGGGGTCCAACCACATCATGCGGGGACAAGTGTGACGGATCTCAAGTTAATCCTCAAATTTAATTGTCAGCGAAATGCGCCTCCAATTGTAAGTTCCAGGGATCTATAGCCCTATAGTTTGCATAATCTGGTTCCCTATCTTCAGTGTGCCACGTCCGATTTGATGGCTGTAGGATTCCACAGAGGTTCGAGCAGCTGACCAGACACTGGTGTTACCCCAACGAGATGCAAACCGTTCTACGCAATCCTTACAACAAGTGGCACAAATAGGCGCAGTCGCCTCTGACACGTACTTATGTGTTCTACAAAACAAATTCGAGGGATGTTAAAGTTTATATTTCTGGAACTGCTGTATTCCAAAAATTGTTCTGAGTTTCAATAAATTGTTTATGGCCGAGTCAGTAACTATTAATTACTAGTAATTATTTTTATTTGCTCTGGGTCTGGCCATCTTATTATTTCACAAGGATCGGCCGACTATATATCCCATAGCTGCCATCTAACTGACTGATCCGAAATGGTTTTTGGGTAAAAATACCAATTGGTATTTTTGAATATAGATTGGGGGTTTTTTTTGGATTTTCTTTTTCAATAAATTTTATTGAAAATTTATTCTCATAAGGATCGGCCGGTTTTAACTGCAAGGGTATATCAACGTTGGCTTTCGTGTTTCTACAATTTTTGTTAAAAAATTTAAAAAGTATGATTGGTATGAAAATAAAATTTCAGCCAACTGTAAAATACGGTTTATTGAAAAAACATTATTTTTTGGTGGTGATTCAAATGAGGAGGGATAGTGGGTCATCATAGGGGAAGTCTTGAGACCTTCAAGAAAAAAATCTGAACTGCCAAAGACGAATATGTCTTTAGTTTTTAAATTTTTCCCCATCCGTGGTACCAAAACAAAAAAAAACTTAAAAAAAAGGAAAAATTATGAGCTTTAGAAAAAATTCATTTTTCCCCATTTTCTCGTTATTTATTTTATTTTTATTTTTTTCAATCAAAAATATTTATAAAAGATTTTGGTGCCAAGGAAGAAAAAAGGAACTGAGGAACATTTCATGAGGATTGCTGAATTTTTGTGACCTGAAGGACTTCCACCAACTTGAAAATCATGGGTTCGAGAAAAATGCTCGACACTGGTCCACCAAACGTCCGATAACTTTTGTAATTTAAGAGATTTCGACTCAGGTTTTGGGAAAGTGAAACTACAAAATATATTTATCCGTAAATGCAAAATAGAAAAAATATTTGATTTCTTTGATTTTACAAAAAATAATCCCCCTTACCTGAAACAAGTAGGCCATGACTCTCAACTGTCAATGCTTTCATTTAAGGCCGACAGGAGCTACATTGTATAGGCTCAGTTTACATCCGACATTCGAACGATTAGGTTGTAGTAGAAGTAAAATATTTTGCACTCATGAAAGATTTTATATTCCCGCGACTCAAACAATTTTTCGGCATATTTTTCAAATTCGATCCGGTGGCTCAATCGTCCGCAACAATGCCAACCCCCGCGTATCTAGTAAGAAGCGAACCGTTTCAAAATGCCCGAAACGCAAAACGGTCGCGAAGAAACGTCATCCGCTAGTGCGTGCTTTTAAAAGCGGTCCCCATTCCAAAGTTGGTCGCTCCTGCCGGAAGCCGCTTGCGAAGAAGCGGAAGACACAGAAGGCCTGTGCCGCTCCGCAGAAGAAGAAGGCTTTGAAATCCAAGCCCCGCAAGACCACAACGCGGAAGTGCGTTGCCAAACGTCCTTCGAAGCCCAAAAGGGCCAAGCGCCCAAAGCGTTGCTTGAATGGTTTGTTGGATGTTCTCCCAGCTGGTTCTTCTGCCCATCATTTGTGCTTCCTTCCAGCTTCCCAAACTGCTAAGGAACCAACTCCAGAACCTGAAGACCCGCTTTCCCTTCCTAAGGGGAACGAACCTCCAGAGGTGATTCGCCTTTCGACATCGCCTGCACCCAGACGCAGAATCACTCGCAGGCCGGTCGCTAGACCGAGGAACTTGGAGCGTGAGCGTGAGCCTGAGCCTGACTCGGTTACTTTCATACCTGCCCGGGCCGACGAAGCCCCAGCCAAGAAGCTCAAAACGAAGGTTAGCGCCAAAAAGGTGATTGGCGGGCGTACAACGGCGAAGCCCAAGCCCAAGCTTCACGCCAGTGGGTAGGTAACGCTATAGGGCATCTGGGTTCCGGTCCTCACCTTGAATCCCCCACAGAACTTTGAGACGAGTGGCTGCCAAGCTCAAGGCTCATGAGGCCGCAGTTCTTAAGGCGAAGAATCAGGCGAAGAATCAGGCGAAGAAGGAAGATCCCATTGTTAGAATTGAGCCGCAAGAGAGCCACAGCGAAGACAACCGAGAACCGCGATCTTGGCGTCGGGATAATGGCGCGAAGAAAGATAATAAGGCGGTGCGCAAGCATGCGAGACCCTAGACGGACCATTCTTGGCAAACGTGCCATTTTTCAAATTACCAGACGAAGTGTATTTTTCAAATTTCCCGGACGTGCCATTTTTCAAATTCGCCAGACGTAGTGTATTTTTCCAATTTCCCGACGAAGTGTGACCAAATTCGATTTGTATGCGTGCATTTTCTTTTAAATATTTTTGGAGGTGAGACCTTGACAACTTTCGCAAAGGATTTTTCCCTCAACTCGCATATCTCCCATCTATTTCCTAGTTTATGGCAAAATTTGCAGTCTTCAGGGTCGAGAGCAGAGTCAGGAAATAGCCGCAGGAATCAAAATCCCAAAGAAGAACGAAGCTTTTGGAATTTTCATTTGGTAGCCCATCCTCGTGTATTTTGACGTACCTTTTGCATGTTTGGATAGTGATTAGATATCGTAATACAATTGTGTAACAAAATTCAAATACCAATGTTTGTATTCCTTAAGACGGTGGGTGGGCAGGTGGACTGGTCAATTAGGCCAATGTGCGTGGAAAATGGTCAGTTTGGGGTCTGCGCAGGCGGCTACCTGTGGGAGGCGTGGTGCACCTAATTTAATGCTAATTAACTCAAGTGGCGGCTGTGGTTGTGTGCTTTGCAGAATCGCTGACAATGCAACTGTTTGGGGCAAACACAAGCGCGGCTGCCTTTCAAACAAATTGCAAGCGCGAGTTCATCAGGTATTGAGTTTATTTCCTGAAGAAAATGCTAGTCTAAAAGATAATTGGGTTACAAAGACACCTATGTATTTTTAGACTAACTTCAAACATTTTTACATGTTTTGTTTGGTTTTTTAAGGAGGCTGGTCACTCTTTGTCAAGTGGGTCACCCTGTGAATGGGTGAAATCACAGGGTCACCCTGTGAAATCTTAAGACTTAAATACCAGTGCCTCGGTCTCAAGAAATTCAGTCTGGCGGAGGAGCTCGACCCAACCAGACCTCCTCTCCATTCTCATCCTGATTTTCTAATTTATTTTATTTTAAATATTATTTTTTTTTTTTATTAAAAAATGCTCTTTAACCATGGGCCTCTTCTGAAATCCTGATTTTATTTATTTAATTATTATTTTTTGTTAATTCATATATATGGAATGTAGAACCAATTTCGAGCGATCATTTTTCGATAGTGCCATTGTAGTTCGGGTTCGAAAGACGGCATCTGATTTTCTCATTTATTTTGAAAAATTCTTTTAAAATGTTTCTTTTTAGGGATTACCCCCTTAAATACCATTCCTATACTATAGAACTGCTCCTGAAGCTCTTCCGATGGAATCCTGGTTTTTTTAAAAAAATTCTTCAGGGTTCTTTGGGTCTGATTTATTTGGTCTTTAATGATTTTATTTGGGTCTTATTTTTATTTTTCTTTGGATTATAATGTCAACGCTGTAAGAGAAAAGTTTCTTCCATCTTGGGTACTTATCTTTTCTTTTCCTTTGGAATGGTTACTTGTGTTCTTATTTTCTTATTATTGTTCTTATTTTATATTATTTTATTTAAACCACTTTAAGGCCCAAGTCTTTTATGCTCATCGATGCCCAGGTGGTTGCTGCTGATTTTTTTTGGAATATCAACTAAAATTCTAGGTTTTTTAGAGCCTCGGTTTCTTCATAAACCTTTAAATACTCTTCACTTGAGTCTGATTTTTCTTATTCTTTTTTTTTTTGCCGATACTATCGATAATGTATTAATATTAGCTCCATCATGTTTTTGAGAGCGATTTAACAGTCGAATCTAATTGGCACTCTAGTTTTTTCAGAGCCTCAATTTCGTCTTAAACATTTTTAAATATTTTTCACTTGGGTCTGATTTTTCTTATTCTTTTTTTTTTTGCCGATACTATCGATAATGTATTAATATTAGCTCCATCATGTTTTTGAGAGCGATTTAACAGTCGAATCTAATTGACATTCTAGTTTTTGCAAAGCCTCAATTTCGTCTTAAACCTTCTTAAATATTTTTCACTTGGGTCTGATTTTTCTTATTCTTTTTTTTTTGCCGATACTATCGATAATTAATAAGTAACAAATTTATTTATATTTTTGGAAGCTATCTTGGAAAAATGCCTGTAGACCATTATAATACCTTCAAGCTTCTTTTTTTTTTAAACCTTTAAATATTTTTCATGATTTCGGATTCAGATTTTATTCAATTTCGATTTCTTGCCGTGGATATCGATGTATCGATATCGACTTTTTTTTTTTTTTTTAGAAAGGCACGCACTGAATCGAAGGCGATTGCTGCTGAGTGCCGGAAACGGAAATGGATATGGTGTATATATAATGTGGGGTGTTGGAAGGAAGAAGCAGAGGGGGAGTCGGTGGTGGAGGCTAGTAGGGGTCAGAGGTGCAGAGATCCGATCCAGTTTCGGTTCTAGTTCCAGGAAACCCTACCAGCAAACTCCAAGGTCCACCTCCCCTCCGAAAGCATTTCATTTCCTATCGTCCGCCCGTCGTGGCGGCCTCTCGGCTAATTTTGCATGCAGCGCACAAAGGCGGTGTGTTGAAAAGGCGTGTGAAGCCTGGCTGGAGGTCAGAGGGGGCAGGTCGCAGGTCGCCGGACGCAGGACGCAGGACGCAGGAGGGTCACGCAGACGATTGATTTGGAAACGGGCCATTGTCACGCCGTCTATGAAATGGCCAGACGGATACGGATCCAAAATGGTTTCGTTAGCTTGGTTGGGGGGATGACTGTGGATTGTCCCGAAAAAGGATTTTCTTAAAGCTCACCCTCCCTCCACCCCTGTGTTTGTTTTCTTTCTTTCCTTTTTTTTTTGATGGGAAATGCACGTACGCTTCGTGTATTGAAAATAAGGACAGACATCCTTCCACTCCCACCTTCTGCCGACACACACACTCAGAGACATTGAAAAGTTTGTTAGTTTGGACACGAAATATTTTATTATTATATAAAATTTGCCATTATGATGATTATAGCAGCTAGTCCTAGTCCCTGTGCCCTGCGCCCTGCGTCCCTTCATGCATGTCCTTGTTGCGGATTCAATGAGCACAGGCTCGTGCTTCGGGTGTTGCATACTTTATGTCCTTGGCGCAATCACAGTCCTGTCTGCCGGACTCCCCGGGGGAGATCCCGGCCAGATGATGACAGACCCTGCCAGGTTTCATTCTCTTTGCATCTTAAAGCAGAATGCCCAAAAGATTCAACAGGATAATGGGTTGTGGGAAGGAATGAGGATTTTCGGTTTACTTTCTTTTTTTTTAGAAGATAACTATGTGTGAGAGTCCTTGTCTGAAAACAGAGGGATGCCAAGTATTTAAAAGCAATGAATTGTAATTTTCGCAATTATGCCGCCCGCCGGAGAAAGGAGCACAGAGCCTGATTGTCCTTGTTGGGATTGTCGGCTGATTGTCGTCGCTTTGACATGGAAAGACTCTGCATAAATTAAAAGCGACCTTAATTTTTTTCTCTTTTTTTTTTTTCTTGGAAAGTTTTTCTCTGTTTTTTGTGCATCTCGCGATGACGGCAACTCAAGTTTCACTTAATTAACTGCAATAAGAAACTGAAATTAACCTCGAACGCAGTCTCTAGTCCTCTGAGTGGGTGACGAAAGTTTCGCCGAGGTCCCTCCCCCCTTCGTTGGCTTTCATAATTCCGTTAGCTTATTTGCATCCTTATGGCTGAGAATTGAAGGACGTGACCTGACCCGAGAAGAGGCTCAGAACTAGTCTTGGCTCTCGGAATATACTATATATTCTCGATCAGGAGAATCCTTCGAACTGGCTGGTCGAGTGTTGCCGGGTGGTGGCTTTACCAGGAAATGTTGCCAGCAACATGTTGCTAAGAAGGAGCCGCCGCCTCGTCCAATTGGCTCGTTGGGGCTCGTGGCGCCTTGGTTCGTCGACGTCGGTCGGTATCGGGGCTGCCGCCTTTTGTGGCACAGTGTTCGTGCAGCAACGAGACGATTCGGTGGCTGCAGTCACCACCGCATCAGGCCAGGTGTCCTCAAAGGCGATCTTCAAGTGATGTATCGGAAGGCAGTTAACCGATTCTGGATTCAGGATGCCTAGTCTGGTCCTAAGCATGTCCTGGTATTTCAGGCCAGAAAGGCAAAGGAAGGAAGTGGCAGATTTGGAGAGTGGAGCGCGGTGAAGTGTATTGGGTTTCTGCATTCCGCGGCACGCAAGGCAAGGCAGGAGAAAAAGTCTCTAAAGGAGCAGAGCCAGGAGCAGTGGAGGAGGATGAGGGACTGGCTACGGGAATGGATAACCAAAAACCCGAAACCCCAACCCGTAACCTGTTACCCGTAACCCGTAACCCGGAACAGAACCGCAACCGAAACGAAACGTAACGAAATGAAATGAGGAAAATGGGAATGGGAGTGGGAATGGGAATGGGAATGGGTATGGGAACTGGGACATGGGAGTAGTAGCACTACTGGCACTAGCAGAAATGGGAAATGGAAGTGAGGAGTGTGGAGTAGAGAGTTCAGAGAGTGTGGAGCTCAACTCAAACGGAGCTTAACTTAACCTTTGGCTCAACCACAACGCTCCGGGTGGTGCAGTTTGCCGATGCAGTTGCCATTGCAGCACCATCACCATCACCATCAGGACCATCTCTTAAAGCCGCCATCTGGATCTGTGCAAGGAATTTCAATTGCCCTGCCAGCTAGTCATCCAGTCAGTTGAAGACCTTGGCTATTATCCTATTTTCCGTATGAATTTTTCATCGCTTCAGAGTTTTTCCATCAGCACTCTCCAATCTAG